GGGGCGGGGCGGCATGGGCGGGCGGAGCCTGCGTGGGGCCGGGCTTGCGGCATCATGTATCCTAGCAACAGCCAGTGCTGACCAACCGCTAGGTACTGGAAGCTGTTGGGCGACTTGGAACCTCGGCCTCCAACATGGAGTCAAACACGTTCAACGAACGCAGCTCCTTCCCAGTGGAGGGCAACAATGTGACTCTGGACATGGACCTGTACGACACAGAGCTCTATGGTATCCCGGACCCAGGACTGCTCAAGGAAAGGAATGGTGAGGGTCGCCTAGCCTGGCCCACCAGTTGTCCTGCTCCCAAAGCAGGCCTCAGGCACCCTCTGTCCCTGAGAAGGCATGGGCCCCAAAGGGCCCTTGGAGGGGGTCCCCAGACTCCCCCATCTCCAGGGTTGGGGGCCAAAGGCCATGCGGTGATAGCGCTTCCGCTGCCGCACACAGCACGGCTGTTCTCAGACGGCACTCAGTTCCTGCAGACTTTTACCAGTAGCCCGCGATGGCACACCCTGACCCCGCGCACCCGCGCCCGCCAGCTGTGGCTGCTTCTGCGCACAGGTCTCCACGACTTGGTGGAAAAGGTGCGGCCGCAAAGCCTACTCTGGCACAGCCCTTTCCTAGGGCTCCCCCTGGTGGGAGTGCGCCCTGCCCCCTCGCTGACCCCTCATGCGCCCGGCCCCCCATTGACCCCCGGCCCACAGGAGAAGAGAGCCGAGCTGTGCGTGGCGCGCTTGACACACGGGCTGGAGCCGCTGCGTCGCCTGCACATGGCGGCCGGGCTGCTTGCCGTGGCCCCGGACCCGCTGGGTGGACGCCTGGTGGTACTGGACGGAGCGGGCCGCCTCCACCTGCACAGAGAGGATGGCTGGGCGCGTGAGAAGCTGTTGGCCCCCACTGAGATCGCGGGGTTGGTAGCTGTGCCAGGCTCGCTAGGTGCTGTGAGCCGCTTTGTGGGCTGGGGCCCCTCAGGGCTGTCTATATTAGGGCCCAACTTCCGCCTGCTCTGGCAGAACGGGCCACTGGTGGGCAGGGTGCAGAGGTTTGAGCCCACCTGCTGCCTCCCAGTCCCCGAGTCGGGACTACTGGTCGTAGCCGAGGCGGGCGGCGGCCTGGGGCTCTGGAAGTTCCGCTCCGGCGGGCGCCTCCTGGTGCCGCGCGGGCCTCTCCTGCAGCCGCCGCGGAACGTCCCGGGCGCGCTGACGCGTCTGGCCCTGGGGGGCGCACTGCCCTGCCACCACCCACACTGCTTCGCTGCCTACGGCTCCGCCGTGCTCACTTTCGATCTGGACAGCTGGGCTCTTGTGGATGTGCGCCAGGACCTGCATAAAACGTGAGGGGTCAGGGACGCGAGGCGGGCGCTGACGTCCCAGCGGTGCGGGTGAGCGGGTGTAGGCCAGGCGCGCACCGGAAGCGTAGGGCCGAGCTAAAGCGACCGCGCTGAGTCCACCCGGCCTTCCCCGCAGCACCATCTCGGACCTGGCGTACTGCGAGGAGGTGAAGGCCATGGTTACGGCTTCCCGGGACAGCACGGTGAAGGTGTGGGAGGCCGACTGGCAGATCCGGACAGTGTTCGTGGGCCACACAGGTGTGCCCGTCACAGTGGTTCTTGAGGCCGTGCTGCCCCCACCCAGGCGGGGGGACCTCTGCCTTAATTAGCCTTCGCTGTCCAGGCTCCCCAACGCCTCTAGTCACCACCCAAGCTGACTGCTCTCCTGCCCTGAGCCTCCGGCGCTCCTGGGTGATCCGCGCTCCCCCACAGGCCCAGTGACAGCTCTGGCGGTCCTTCCGAACACGGCCCTGGTACTATCAGCCTCACAGGACGGGACGCTGCGCACATGGGACCTGCAGGCGGTGGCGCAGGTGGGCGAGGTGGCACTGTGCTGTTGGGGCAGTGACGTGCCGTCGGGGCGTGTGAGCAGGCTGCTGGCACCCGCCAGTCCCGGCTGGCCAGTGCTGTCCCTGAGCGCGCGCAGCATGGAGCTGTGGCGCGTGCGGGAGCTCTACTGGCCGCTAGCGCAGCTGCCCGCCCCGGCGCTCCATCTGCAGGTGGCGCCCTCTCTGCCTGCGCATGCGCACCCGCCGCTACCCATGCGCCTCGTGTGTGCATGCGCAGACGGCTCGGTCTGCCTCGTGTCCGCCACGAGTGGGCGCACGGTGAGCGCGCTGCTCCTCGGGCCCGACGACTGCGCGGCCGCGGTGGCCTACTGCCTGCCGCGCGAGGCTCTATGGCTGTTGACAAAAGCTGGACACCTGGTGCGCGCCAACGCAGCATGCTGCCCTATGCGAGTGCTGCACCGTGTACTCCCGCAGCCGGCGCCCGCGCCGCGACCCTGCTGCCTACACCTCTACAGCCACCTCACTGACCCCGGGAGCGCGCACGAGTCTTGGCAGATCGTGCGCCAGCACGGGGGCGAGCTACACCGCAGTGACACGACTTGGGCCCTGAAGGACAAGAACCGGTAGGCGCCCGAGGGGGCGAGGGCGGCGCAGGCAGGCGGGAGGGGAACTGGGCCACGCCTAAGCGCTCCGCCGCCGCCTGCAGGTACCTGCCCGTGGTCGGGCACACTGATGGCGCGCTGTCGGTGCTCGAATGGCACTCGTCGCGGACCGTCTTCCACACGGAGGCGCATAGCCCGGGTCCTGTCACCGCCATTGCGTCCACCTGGAACAGCATCGTGTCTTCGGGTTAGTTCCGCCCCGGCCCCTCCCAGTCGTCTGTTCAGGCCCCTCCCCCCCCAGGCCCAGCCCTGCCGGTGCCTCCCGCAGGCGGAGACCTGACCGTGAAGATGTGGCGCATCTTCCCTTACGCCGAGGAGAGCCTGAGCCTGCTGCGGACTTTCTCCTGCTGCCACCCGGTGGTGGCGCTCTGCTTGCTTGGCAAGCGAGTCACGGTGGGCTTCGAGGCTCCAGCCACGGCCACCTATGGCCTGGTGCAGTTGAGCCTGAGTGACCACCCGCGCTGTGACCACCGGCCCCAGGACGACCCCACGGACCACATCACTGGTGAGGACGGTGAAGCTGAGGCCCAGTTCCCGGTACCCTCCCACTCCTGACCCTGACACCACCCCCACCCAGGCCTGGTCTGCTGTCCTACACTCAAGCTGTACGCCTCCTCCAGCCTCGACTGCACCGTCCGCATCTGGACATCAGAGAACCGTCTGCTGCGGTGGGCTGTGCCTGAGGAGGGGGCGGGGTGGACGGAGGTGGGGCTGGGGCGGGGCTGCGGGCATCTTGTGGGTCTCTCCCGCTCCTGCCCCCACCATTTCCTAGTGGCAGGGCTTGGGGGAGAGGGCCTTGCCCTGCTCCTGCCTCAGTTTCCGCCCTTGGAGCAGGGGCTGGACTTACCCTGGGCACCCTCTAGGCTCCTACAGTTGAATGGTGCCCCCCAGGCCCTGGCCTTCTGCAGCAACAGTGGGGACTTGGTGCTGGCACTGGGCTCTCGCCTCTGCCTGGTGCCCCACAGGCTCTACCTGCCCACTTCTTACCTGGTCAAGGTGTGCACTGAGGACAGGGTGGAGCTGCTGGGGGCAGACACAAGCCCCTAAGCCGGGCTCCAGACTTCTCTCCCCTGCTCAGAAGCTGTGTCGGGAGGCTCCTGAAGGGGTGGATGACCCTCCACTGCCCCTGACCAGCCAGGAGTCGATGACCTCGGCCCAGCTGCAGAAGCTTGCCAACCTACACAGTGTGGCCAGCCTCAGGTCTGCCAAACGCCCACCCAGACACCCTGGAAGACCCCGCCCAGTCCCCAGCAGGAGGCCCCCGGGCTCCTGGAGCTCTCAGGAGTCTCCGAAGCCTGGCTCAGTCCTGGTATCCCCACTGCTGTCTATTGTGACTCACCTGGGGGCTGATGGTCCCTTGAGCCCTTGTCCCGGCCCCCGCTCATCGCGCTGCCCACTGCCCACCATCCCCTGCACATCTCTGTCTGCAGTGTGGCCTTGTCTGTCACCCATCAGCCGAGGAAAACCTCTCAGCAACCAGTGTTGAAGGCGGTGAGCTGGGTCCCACGCCCTCCCCCGTTCCCAACCACCCCCTCACCACCCAGCACCTCAGCCCCCTTTGCCCGGCTCTGCCCACACTCCCTCAGTCCTCAGGCCACAGGTCAAGGACAAAATGGCTGCCCACTGCCTTCCCCAGGACTTTGAAGCCCTAGTTGCCCGGGACCAAGACCTTCAGAGGCTGAGGCTGGGCCTGGTGCTCCCAGCAGCCCGGCACCCCCTCTCCTGGCAGCAGCGCCAGGAAGCTTTTGACAAATACCTGCATCTGATCTACGGCCCAAGGCTGGAGGTGGGTGTGGGGCCTCCCCAGAGCCTTTCTGGTCAAGGCCCAACCCCTGCCTGGGGCCACTGATGCCCCCCCTCTTGCTGTCTCCCCCCAGGGGGTGCACTCTAGAAAGGCATCCCAGCAGTGGAGCTCCATGACCCTCTCCATGGAGAAAGAGACCTGGGGTGCCAGCACCCCGCCAACAGCTGCCCACAGCCTCCAGTGTGCTGGGGTCTGCAAGGAAGAGCACACAACGCCAGCAGCCCCACCCCTAAAGGGCCTGGGGAGCCTGTCCCAGCACTTGGCTCGCCTTTCCAGGGCCGCCTTGCCCATCCCGCCCGGCTTCCAGAAGGTGCACAGCAGGGCGTCACAGGTGAGGCCTCCAACCCTTGGCATCCCTGCACTGCCCTCAGGATAGCACCCTGCCCATGTCCCCAACTCCCAGCCCCAGCTGCTGGCCCAGTCCTCACTGAGCTGCATCTGAGCCTCAGCCTGGACCTGCAGCTGCAGCCGCAGCACTTCCGGGAGCGGGCGCAAGTGTCCCTGCAGCCCCTGCCCTCCCACCTGCCAAAAGGGGTGAGGATTCCAGGCAGCTGGGGTGGCCCTTGCCGGTGCGCAGAGCCGCAGGGCTGCTTGGGCCCCTGCTCATCTCTGAGCCCCTCCCACTCCCAGATCCTGCTGAAGAGGCACTCCAAGGAACTCCTCTGTAACTTCAAGGGCTTCTTCCCTGCCACCGCTCATCCCCCAGACCAGGTGAGAGCGCCTCTGGTTCTCCCTAGAAGCACCCTCGTGGGGGAGGGGTGTGCCCCTCTTGCCCACTTCAGTTTCCCTTTGCTGTACACTTTACCTCCAAATCTGACCTGTGGCAAGCCACACCCTCCTGCAGCCTGGAGGTCCAGGGCCCGACCTCCGACCCCCTTCCCCTGCCCAGTCGGGCCTGGTGCAGCTGCTCTTCAGGCACACCAGGTGGCAGAGGCTCCCAGGGGCTCCGACAGCAGGCTGTACCTGCACACCACCCCTTCCAGGGAACCTAGGAATCCACCTGTGGACTCTACGGTCGGCCCTGGGAGACCAGAGTGCCTGTCCTTCAGAGGAGTAAAGCCAAGGGAGCTGGCCCCTTGCAATCTGCCGTCTTCCCACCCTCACCCACCCCAGGGGCCCTGGCTGGCCCTGGCCCCATCCTACTAACTTCTATAGGGTCTCTGCATGCGTGCTGGGAGGGCAGGGGCGGCCACTGCCCTCGGAGGCCTGGAGAGGGGAGCTGGGCTCTGCAGAGAGCGAGTGACCCAGGTGGGTCTCTGCCCTCCATGCCAATGCTTTGCAGCCCCTCCGGCCCATCCTCTTTCCCGGCTTTGTGCCCAACTCGGTGGTGCTGCAGCACCTGTGGCTGCCAAAAGAGATGGGAGCCCTCGGAGCCCTTGCCCAGCTCTCGTCGGGCCCCAAGAGACCCAAGGCAAGCGGCTGGGCTGGGAGCCGGTTCGCGGGGGCGGGGCCGGGGCGGTGAGCCAAACTCACCTCGTGCGCCCCCTTTGGGCAGCAGAGAATGAGCCAGGACGACCAGTGGCTGTCGGGGCGCAGAAGGCGCGGCCGCGCGTGGCGCCAGAAGCTGCTCCGCTGGCTGCGGGGAAAGCCCGAGGACGAAGAGGAGGAGGAAGAAGAGGAGGACAAGGAGGACATGGACTGGGGCTCGACTCCCACCTCCCTGGGCCCGCCGGGGCCGTGCTCAGAGCAGGCCTCGGAGCCGGAGCCAGAGGCTCAGGTACGCGCCCGGCGGCCGCGGCAGGGCGTGGCTCCGCGTCCGGATCCGGGGCAGGCGGGACCTGCAGTGCCCGCCACTCTCTCTAGAGCGCGGCGCACTTGAGCTGGGAGCCGCGGGGCTCCAGGTACGCAGACTACTCCGCGGAGATGTACCAGAGCGCCGGGTTTCCCCAGAAGCACCATCCCTGGGAGGAGCGCTACGCACACCTGCCCGGGTTCCTGCATTACTTTGTCGGCGAGAACTGGTTCAAAAAGCTGTTCCCCATCTTCACCCTGGAGGTGCGACGGAGTCCGGGACGCCTGAGAAGCGCAGGCGGGGATGGGTGGGAGGGCAGCCAGGGGGCGCGCCCGGTGAAGGAGGGCCGGGCCTCAGCGCGCCCATTCCGCAGGCGTACCCCGAGGTGGCCACGGTGGAGGGCCTGGCCTCGCTGCTCATGCGCTTGCTGGAGGAGGCCTCTTGGGCGGATGGTGTGTACATCCTGGACGCCCTGCTGATGTTGCTGCCGAACGTGAGTGGCGACCTCCGCAGCCGCCTGCGGGCCATCCTCCTGCGCTTGCTCAATCTGGACCAGCCGCCGAGCCTCCAGGTGCGGCCGCGCCCCGCCCCGCCGCGCCCCGCTCCTCCGCGCCCCGCGCCTCGTGTACGGAGCACTCTCCGCCCCTCTTGCGCTCAGGACCGGACGCAGAGGCAGTTCGTGATGCTGGCGCTGCAGCTGCTCCTGGCCTGCTCCCTCGAGTCCCGGGACGTGGTGCTGGAGCTCATGTCCTACTTCCTCTACTCGCCAGCCGACTGTCAGTGAGTCCCGCGAGCCCGCCCGCCCGGGTCTCGGCAGCAGCGGGAGCGCGCTGCTGAGCCGCACGCCCCTCGCCCCAGGCCAGAGCTCAGGAAGCTGCTGCGTGCGCTGGGCCTTCAGGACTCGCAGGGTTTCCTGTTCAAGGAGATGACGACCTGGACCCAGGGCTCGGAACTCGACTCGAAGGCCTCGCTGCGCAGTCGCTGCGGCCAGAAGCTGGAGGGCATGATCCAGAGCCTGCAGGTCTGGGCACCTGCGGGGGTGGGCATGGGGTGAGGGCGCCAAGCGAGCTAGCTAGCCCCCTGGTGGCTCAAGCCTCTTGCCTGCTGGCGCACGGCTCTCCTGAATGCCGGTGGCAGAGCCAGGCCAGGCCAGCAGGCTGGCTCCTCCCGCCTCCCCCCCCATGCAGCTCTCGGGACCTCTCTGGTGCCATCATCTGGCGGCGTCTCGGGCTTGGGGCGAGGACTGCACTATGAGGGCATCCCTGTCAGGGGAGGGGGGACCTCTCTTGCGTGGTGACTCTGCTGGAGAGCTTCGGCAGGGGCCTACCTCTCTCACAGATGGAGATCTTGCAGCCATTTGCAGCGAGGTTGTCTGTGGCGCTGTCCAGTGCCCCGGAGTCCTCGGAGCAGGCCCTCTCCAAGGGAAGCCTGTCTCAGGACTCCCAAGACTCAGGGCCGGCCTCGCACGTCTTCCGGACGTCTTCGCGCGCCTCCGGGACGTTCTCGAGCCTCCCGTGGCCACCCGCGCGCGTCTCGGAAGGACCTTTGAGGATGATCTCGTCGCCGGTGCTGGACTTGGTCGCTCGGGACTCGCAGGCCGAGCCACCGCTGGAGCAGCGGCGCAGCTGGCGGGCCAGGCGGACGCTCTCGGACTCGCTGCGGGCCTTCTGCGCCATACGGGACGCCTCCACGCGCGCCTCGGCGCCTGCTACCCTGCAGGGCCTGTTGCTCCCGCTCGAGCTGGCCGACTGGTCACGCTCCCAATTGCTGGACCTGGAATCCATCGACGCGCTCAACTTCTTCTGCGAGCGGCAGCTGGAGCGGCAGCGGAATTCGTTGCAAGAGGAAGCCAAGGCTGAGTCCAAGGCCGAGGCTCAGGCTGAGCGCACCAGTTCCCACCGACTCAACACCGTACTGCGGCGGCCCCTGGATCACCGGTGCGCGCGGACGCGGGCGGGCGCGGGGGGGGGGACGCGGGGAGCTCCCGTGCCCGAGCCAGCCTTCTTATGCCGCAGATACCAACCCATCCTTCGGCTTCAGGAGTCCAGGGTACAGACGGATCGGATGAACCTGAGGGGTGAGTGAGCTGCCCGGTGGAGAGCCGGTCCTGGGCCGCTCCAGCCCCGGTGGTCCCCCTGGGCGTCAGTGGCACCCTGCTCAGCCTTACCGTCCTGCCCGCCCCCAGGCTGGAAGCTGCCTCGGCTTGGTGTAGGTGGCCCCCTGCGGGTGCTGAAGCTACCACTGCCTCGGGCGGAGCCACAGCCCTTTCCCCCTGACTGGCCCAGGCCAGCCCGCCCGCTGCCCCCACTGCTCCTACAGCCTGCCCTGCAGCGCTACTTCGTGCCCGACCACGCGGACCCTGATGGCTACGGTTGACCTGGTGGCTCCCACGGGCCTGACCGGATGACAGGCACCTAGCCAAGGCTGGGGCTGGAATAAAATCCAGGGACCTTGGCCACTGAACTGAATGTGCTTTGGTCTTTGGGAGCGTCTGGGGTGGGCAGGACAGCCGCGCTGTGTCCTGAACCCAGAGGGGCCCACGTGCGTGGAGGCGGGAACTGGGGTGGTGGAGTCTGGTGTGGGCTTGACCCTGGGGCGTGGTCAGCTCGGTAGACCTGGAGCTCAGGTAGTTAATGGTGCTGAGGTTGGGAATACAGACCCTCGAGATGGTTCTCTGGATTAGGTACGAAGGGGAGAAAGGGAGGGTCTGGACAGCTGCAGGCCTATGGGGTTGTCATAGGGTCTTCCGACTCAGGTGAGACCAGGCTCTGCTGGGACCCACGGCTGTGGTACTGGATGGGTGAGCAGCAAGAGGGCTCCGAGCTGCTGGAGGGCCCTGCCGTGGCCTTGCAGGGGCCCCTTCACCAGTTCCACATGGGCCTTGGATGTTGGCAAGGGTTTCGTGGCCTGTTCTGCTGGTTTCCTTCCTTTCATTTTAAATTCCGTTCTGCTACTTACTTTTATTGTTATGATGATGATGATTTGGGTGAAAATTTACAGAGCAAATTCACTTTCCATACAGCAGTTCACATACACTTTGTCTCATGACATTGACCACAAT